AGGACTGGGGGGCAGGGCAGCAGAGCTCTCACCTGCCAAGGGGGTCCCCGCTCAGCTGCCTGTGCGACACGCTTTGTCCAGGAACGTGGCAGGGACACATGGTACCGCCTATGTATAGTGCGCACCCCAGTTTTAACCCTTAAAAACCAGGAAAAAAACGTATGCATTATACTCGTGATTTTACGGTAATTATACTTGTTCTATGGAGGGGCGAAGTGACTTGATCAAGGTCACCCAGCTGGCTAGTCACTAGATGACTGGAATAAGAGTTCCCATCCAGGACTCCAATGTAGGGCTGGGGCTTATACAGGTCTTTCATTATTTAGTTGTGTTGATTTCATCACATTTTAATTTACTGTCTGTTGGAGATGTGTTTCCATGTTATTTCTGAAGGGGGACATCAAAATGTATTTGTCCAGTACCAGAAGGGTTGCAATACAATTGCTATTCTTACTCATGTTTTTTCATTAGTCTAAAATTTGTAAATAAATACTTGTCCTGAAAATTGGTAACGTGTCTCTGAGCCCTGCAAAGAACTTGTCCACCACATTACAAAGAGATGTGGTATCTGGAGTTATTGCCTCAAAATTTTGCCAAAACTCAGTTTGAATATTTGTTAGGTATGCAATTTTGGTAATTTATACCAACAGAATAGAGTATTATAGAAATTAACTGCTATGCACACTTAAACAAAACTCTCCTTACAACCAGTATCTCAAAACTTTGACTTTGCAGTAACTAGCCCATGTTGCATCTAGAACCACAATTCATTTTGTAGATTTTACAATAGGATAAAGAGAGCGAGGACTACAATGTTGAGCTTCAAATCTCAACATCTGGTTATACTTGGGGTGGAAAAAGGTCTTGAAATGATAGGTCTACTACAAGTAGGAATCATCTCTGGCTCTCCCAGAATGAAGTAAACCTCTGTTTAGATTCTGGAAGACTTGTACATTTGCCAGTTACAATAATTTCACAGACAAATAGGAATTTGGGGTAACATTTTAAGAAGTGCCTTGAGCTCTTAAGTTCTGCTTTTAAAGGAAATTTAGGCTGTAATGTTGGGTTTTGCCAAGATACTTAGATGCCTAAAGACATAGATAGATGAAAAAATAGATTTTCAATTGCGTCTAAGTAACTTAGATGGTATGTAGAAGGTGGCAGGGCCAGGACTCTGAGATGGCAACAAGCGTTCACTCCCTGAGGTTCTTGGCTAACTAGTTCTTGCTTATATGCTCAGGGTCTAAATTATTGCCATATGTGAACTTGGGAAGAAATTTTCCCCCAGCTCAGATAGGTATCTTCCTCTTCAGAATTTGTGGATTTATGCAGGTATATTTCAAATATTTCTCTGGCATTCTCATTCCCACTTGTTCTCTTGTGGCAGAAAATAGTCTAGTTTCTTATGGGCTTTTATTTGCTTTGTTGTTGTTGGTTTTAAGGTGTGGGTGCTGGTGTTTTTGGTGGGCTGTGATACACAGGAAGTCAGACTCGATGATCTTGTGGTCCCTTCTTGCCTGAAACTTCAAGACTGCTCTTGCCGAACTCCTAAGTGATTTTATGGGTCCCATTGGCTCCCTACCTTCATTTTTAGGTATATAGATATCTTGGTTAATGTTCCTTAGGGCCTATGTCTCCCCTGAAGATGGGACTTAGAAGCCAATTTAAGACAAGACTCTTCTGAGATCGTTGACTTTTTTTCCCCTGATGCTAATTTCTTGTTGTAAAATTGTTTTGATGGGAAAATGTGGGGTCACCACTGCCCCGTGTGAGTCAGTAAGTATTACTTGCTTTATTGTAGCTTTTAGGAGCTTCCGTCATCAGAAAGGACCCAATCAGTCAAAAGATAGTTCCTACTCTAAAGAGTTTAGAGCATAAGTACCGATTAGTAGGGATGTAATAGTGTAGCTGGTTAAATGATTAACTGAGAAGCGGATGCTTATCAGTTAATGTTACTAGCTACACACACACTTTCCCCCAACCTCACAGCTCTGAGAGTAAATTTTTAGTGGGCTGACATCCAGGCTGGCTCAGTCCTGGCAGCTATCCCCACCTACTCTTTAGTTACTTTTATTGCAGAGCTGCAGCAGTGGAAGCTGCTGGGAACAGATGCAAGTTGGGATTGTGCCTGCCTGCCCACCAACTCCTACGTACTTTTAATGTAGAGCTACAGTGGGAGGGGGTTAGCTGCTGGGATCTGGCATGAGTCAGGGTTGAGCCTGCCTGCCTGCCCACTGGCTCCTTAGATATTTTCAGTGCAGAGCCGCTTATTGGGTAACTGTATAACCATCAAAATATTTGTCAGCTACACGGTTACCGGATTATACACAAATAAACATCCAATGTTAAAATGCGTGTAATTAAGTAACCGTGTAACTGTTGAAAATTTCTGCAGCTGCATGTGGGGTTGCAGTCAAACAGACAAAAAATCCTGACACATTATCTGCCAGAAATCTAAATTAGGACTCTAGTTACTGAGAGTAACATGCATTGGATTTGTGTTATACCGTGTATCACTAACTAGTTGCTGTTGGTTAATTCTATAAATTACAGTGGAAATATTGGTTTCACTTCTAGTTTTCTTCACCATTGTTTCAATTAGTTCATTTAATTTCATGAACTTTCAGCAAATTATTATTCCACGCTTGCAAAACAATATGATAAATCAGTACCTTGTAAGGTGCTATCTTAAGTTTGAGAGAAGTGTCACTTAAGCAGGAAATATAGCATTTAGCACTTTTTAATTGCACAAAAGTTATTGGGGATGTGAGAGAAACAGAATTTTTTCGTCAACTAAGCAGCAAGTCCATGCGGTTTGGCTACAGTTATTACTACATTATATGGAGCAATGGCTATGGTCCACTTTTCTCTGTACTCACATCTCCCTATGCAATTCAGGTTCAGGGACTGACTTTTCATTAAACATCATAGAGTAATGCTATTTCTGTCTGTGTTCCTATACTACTCTGATCCCCAAAATACAGAAGCATTTAGTGTCTGTCTGCTAGGACGGATACCTGCAAGAATCTGAATACTTTCATGAGGCTTTTTTTAGTATTTTGGGTGTTGCTTGACACACTGTAGAAGTGTGCATGGAGACTACATTTTCATGACATGGAATCTGTCAGGTTTCTATTTAAAGAATAAAAATGACTCATTCTGTTAATTTTGATTCATCACTGGAATTGATTTTGAGGTAAGAGAAATTATGTTAATACATGATGAAATTAAGGAATCTAATTTTTTGTTTAAACAGCATTTATTATACAACCAATGTAATTCTTTTGCATACATGAGAGGAAAACAGAAACCTGACCAAATGTGTCTTTTAGGTATTGCCTCTGAATTTGGAGTTCGAGGTTATCCAACAATTAAGCTGTAAGTTTTTATTTTTCCTGTATTATATTTTTAAATACCAATCTTCTCCACTGCTCACTTTAAAAAGAGGGAAAACAAACAAATAAAAAGATAACTTTAATAGCTGATACCAGTAAGACGAAGGAAAGGAAAATGACAGTTCACTTGGGAGCAAGTTTTACATCAGTTACTGCTGAACTGGATATTTTTGAAAAAAACAATCATTAGAATTTAAAGTTCTTTGTAATACACCACTATCTTGTTTAACAGCTTAGTAAGTAAGTTCAGTATTAATTAAGCCCAAATAAACTTTTTGTAATTATGGATTAATTATACTCCTATAAATATTGTCAGTTGGAATGTATTGAATTTCAAGTTCATGTCAGTATAGACAAGTTAAGCATAGTTTCGGGTATAAAATCTATACCTCAGTCGTCCTGCCACGTTTATGACTTCCTGATTATAATTCCACATTATTAGTGACTTTTCTGCCCCATATTACTGTTCTGAATAGAGACATATATCCAGGGAAGCTGCTGCATAAAGTGCTATTAAAGATATAAAGTAAAAACAAAACTTTAGTTGAAGTTTTAAAAGAGAAAATGTGGGAAATGGTCAGACGTGTAACTCTTTGTTTCCCCAAATGTGTTGAATTTATCAAAGGATGTTTGGTTGTCATAAAGAACCTATTGTTGTTGTTTTGGATTGTCTTCAGTTATCTCTCCTAAGGGTAATTCCATTGAACTATTGTAGCTTATTATAGGCTGCAGATTTTCGAAAAACTTAGTTGTCGTGACAAATGCAGGTCCTGGAAGTTGATCTTAAGGACACAAAATATAATGTAACTTAATCAGATGGGTCCTTTTTCACAGTCATAAATCCCACTCATATTTTTTTCTGATGATACAGTCAAGTTAGATCCCACCCCATCAGTTACATACAATAACATAGTTTCTTGTCTGCCTCATTGGAGTGAGGGTTAGCTAACTGTTCAGGCTTAAGAAGCCTTTATAGATTATCACAATAGAATACCATTTAAATTTGCTCTTTCTATTTTGCATTTTAAATAGTAAAAAGGTATCCTAAGTAAGGATGTGAAGGACTAGTCGACTATACAATAAGAAAATCGTATACTTCAAAGTGGCAGCGCCACACAGTTGATCCCGGGATCAGCTGTACAGCTCTGCTGCTTTGCCAAGGTGGCATTTAAAGGGCAGCGCTGCACAGCTGATCCCTGGCTCAGCTATGCGGTGCTGCTCATTTGAAATGAGCGCAGAGCCCAGGATCAGCTCCCCAACTGATCCTGGGCTCCGCGCAGCATTTCCGCAGAACCCTGGATCAGCTGGGGACTTCTCAGCTGACCCCAGGTTGTGTGGAAATGCTGTGCAGAACCCGCAGTCAGCTGAGGAGTCCTCAGCTGACCCTGGGCTTGGAGTGGCATTTCAGATCGGCAGGGCAGCATGGAGCCCGGGATCAGCAGGGAACTTTGAGTCCCCTGCTGACCCTGGGCTCCACGAGGAAGCTTCTGCTTTGAAATGCACAGTCCCAGTGGGGACTCTTGTACATTTCAAAGCTGGCACACCCAGCCTGGAGTCAGTGGGATTTCCTGCTGGCTTCAGGCAGAGTTCTGCATTCCTCCTTTGAAATGTACAAGAGCCCCACCAGGGGGCTCTTCTACATTTCAAAGGAGGAATGCAGAAGTGTCTATTGACTTAGTTGAGTAGTTGATGGAAATTCCATTGACTAGAAAATTAACCACTAGGTAACATCCTTAATCCTAAGATTTTTTTTTTATAAGGAGTAATAAATGGACATTTTTAATGCTCTTTAATGGGGTCTAAAGGCTGAATTATTTTTCATAGCCTGTGGACAAATCTTCTGAAGTTGTTTTATTTCCAGTATATTGTCATTATAAAGCAAATAACAGACAACATGTACAGCAGATCTTATTTTCAGAAGGCAAACTGTGGTATGATTTGCCCTCTAACCCACACTCTCACTCCAATTGTACTGAGCCACAAAACTATATATTTTTTCTATTTTAAAGGGTATTTTTCAACAATTACCGAAAGGATCGAAGTTGCTTAGCACTTACTAATTATTGAATATTAAAAATATGAGACTGCTAGGATTTTGCATATGCAGCTGACTTATTAACAAAGGTGAAATGAATGGCAGTTCCTCAAGGTTGTGGATTTTTTTCCCCCCCTCCAGCTTAAAAGGTGACTTGGCATACAACTATAGAGGACCTAGGACCAAAGATGATATAATTGAATTTGCTAATAGAGTAGCAGGGTAAGTATTTATAATCTTCTTTGACAATACCAGCAACTTACATTGTTTTGTTAAGTTGATCCCATTTGTATCTTTTTTTTTTTTTAAAGAGAGCCAAAAGGTGGTCTCCTTTTGATAGTCTTGTGTTCTTACAATTGCAATAATCAGTAGCATCAATCCTATTATAGTTTGAATTAGATGTGGACTGTAAAGAAAATTGAATTAAGCCCAGAAATAGATTAAATACCTCTGCTAATCATGCTGGGAGGGAGTCATTCAGTAATGGAATACATATTAACCAGTATGTAGACTCATCAGTAAAGACAATAGTAAGCCAACGTCTCTGTGTGTATTTCTGCAAAGCTTTTTTGTATTAGCTGCCTTTTTCAGTCTGGTTAGTGGAGATATTTAGAACCTATTCAATTTTAAATTATCAAGTTTGTTTTGTTGTTTACCTTTGACCTGTAACGTAATCTTTACTCCATCTTATAGAATAAAGTCATTTATTTTATCAAAGGAGAGTCTGTGGCATAGTCTAGTGCAGCATTTCTCATTTGTGGATTTTTATTGTTGGGTTTCCTTGGCTAATGCAAGTGTTTGTGTAGGTCAGGGTTGGAGTACAGGAGAAAGTGTTAAGTGCAAGCATGGCACAAGGCAGACATTCTCTATAGTTAAGGAGAGATGAGTTAACTGAAACAAGCTTCTACCTCACGATTTGTGAGTATACCTTGAATTTTTCCACACTAAAGTTAGTTATGAAGATTATGCACCTTCCTTGATTAACCTCATACCAAAAACCATAGATCATTACTAAAATTGGAGTTGGATCTTTATTTTTTCCGGAGTGAACATATTTTATACTACTGCTTTCTTCTTCCTCCCTTCCCTGCTCCTGATTTTGTATTAGAACTCGTTCTGCCAACAGGGACATCCACATGAGTGGATGTGATGGTTCTCATTGTACCCAGGACTGAGAGTCACCTTGTTTATTCTCTGCCTTCATCATGGGTCTTCCTTGTGGTAACAGAGTGTCAGCTTCCTAACTCCTCTACCCTTTCAGTTGCTCAGGCACTTTACTCCAGGCTAAGGCTGCCTGACTTCACCTTGCAGATGACCAATAGGTGTACCCTGGATTCCAAATCCCATTGAAGCAGTCTCCTATGCTGTCCAGCCCCTAATACTCCTTACAGAAAACCCATATGCTCTAAAAGAAGCAACATATGTAATCTTTCAGCTCACAAGCACACAGTACTTACAGTGAAAAAAAGAAAAGAATTTTTTTTTAAAAATCCATAGAGATTCAATCAGAAACAAGCGAGTGTGATAGAATCAAATGGTTACAGTACAAAACAATCATAAAGCATGATCCTGGTTTTTCACTTAATAGTTAACTTTCCTATCTAATAAAGTAGATTTCCCTGCACCCCTAAAGTTCAGTCTGTTGCAGAGCTGGTTGGCTTCCCAAGAGCCAGGATTCAGTTTTTTCGAGACTACCCCAAT